GCGCTGTCTGAGGAGTATGTTACAAACACAGCTGATGCTCCACAGGTTAGCTATAGTTCTCGTGTAAATACGAAGAGACCGGTGCATTCCAAGATGGTCCTGCTTTAGTCGCACCAGAAAGAAACATGCGAGGGATAGTTTTTCTTTCAGTAGGTCAACTTTGCACCTTGTTTTTAGCATCATTTTTGTTATATCTTAGCCCCAGTTCATTGTAGACAGTGTGTTAGTTTCTATTCCGATTATAATTCATACCCAGAATCACAGTAATCATTCATGAAAAACTACTAATTTGTTCAAATATTGATACTGAATAAATAAATGAGAAAATGAGTTTCACATTGTATTTGTACATTCTTCTCAAATCATTCTCAAAGTTGGGGTATCTAACTTTGAAAACACATAATAACCAGAGGTTATAAAAAACCATGTAACTAGTTCCTCGCTCTCAAAACAGTTTGGTTCAATCACTGGTTTTCACAAGTTTATATCTTTGGCCTCTGTCACATCTTTAGAACAAGTTTTTAGAGAGAAAAGTGAAAAGGAAAGGACAAGCTTCACAGCCCAAAGCCTTAAGTAAAGCATTTTGGGCGTCACATTACCAACACTGAAGAACAAACCAAAATCCAAACGTCACATATATCGTTTGCAATTCCTCAGTATCAAAAAGAACGTCTTTAATGACCGTTTGTGCATGGCATACTTCAGAACATGTGACTCTCTACTCAACTGTTTGCACTAGAGTGTGTGCGTGTGGCTGGAAGTATCTAGACGGACCTGTTTTATCAGTGAAGCCACAAGGCCAAGAGTTAAGGGTAGACAGCTCCTTGCTTCCGAGGTCACTACGAGCGGCAATGCATGTTTGTCTCCACTAACCCCAAAACGCAATGAAAACCACAAAAACCACAAATAAAAAACATCAACACTGGGATAACATCAACTAGTGTTCGTATTCTTTCTAAAATGCTCAATGTTTTCAGAGATTTGCATGAATACAAAGCAGTCAATTCTGTCAACACTTAGATAGGCAACCTTTATAAGTGTAAGAAATTGCTAAATCTTTACCTGAGCTTGTATTGTAGAAGTCATATGCCTCAGAATCGAGCGCTGCTGGAACAGAGGTGTGTCAGACTGCACACAGACACCGCACTGACTGACTGCTAAAAACCCGGTAGACTAAATACCTCACTGGGACTGAGGAAACGGTCACATTATCAGCGAGCCCTCTGCTTTGGCTTGTCCCTTTGGCTCAAATGTCCTGTTGCTCTTTAAAACTATTCAGTTACCTACCTAAGTGGCACTGAGGAAGCTAAATTTGTCGCACCACAGATTATTTCCTCTGAATGGCAAAGCGGTTTTCACATATATACTGGCAGTTTGGACACATCCCACATGTTTGAGTCCAAAAAGCCTATAAGTCTTATCAAAGCGAAAGGCCCTCCCTCGCCCCGCCTCTCTCAGGTTAGTTCATGCAGTGACTTGGGAGTATGAATGGAATCTGATGAAGGCACATCTCCTGCACCTGCCACAACAGCCCCGCGGGGTCGTGTGGCAGGGAGCCGGTGTCAAAGTCTTCATTAGGCTGACGGATAAAGCCCCAGGCCCAGAGTGACGGCAGGGTATTGGCGAAATGGGTGAATGAGAGGCGGCTTGGACTAACAAAAAATGTTTTCTATAAGATCTAATCAGATGTTGACAATACCAAAATAGAACCCAGCATGCTGATATGAATTGATAAATCATGTACTGTATAATCATTGATTTGTTTGTGCCACATCCTTTGCATACAACTGAAGGATTGTATCTGCACTCTTTTCAATGTACTGCAACTTTTGATGATTATAATGCCCTGTGTGATTTTTTTTTTCTTTATAACTTGCCTTGCCACTTTGAGATAAAAAAAAATGTAGGCCTGTCAGGAAATTTGGAATGCAAGATTTCTTGTTGCAGCAATTAACAAAAATAATAAAACCAACCATTACAGTGACTAATTCAACCATATACAGCAAAAAAAATATTTATGTATTTACTTACAACATGTACTCTTTCAGAACATATATTTTGTAAAGCTGTCTTGAAAGGGGTCAAATGAAGCAGACGCTAAGAAACTCCCAACCACCTCACTCACAGTTATGTTCATAATAGTCCAATAGATCATCATTGAGCCCAAAATTGATGGGTTTTACAAATCTATGAGCATTCATGAGCATTGCCTCGCTACCTGTTTTTCAAGCCGACACTCACCTCCTCTGCCCCTTCTAAGTTACCGTTTGTGATTTTTCTCGTCATTCCAGCCCGCAGGCTTTTTCCTTTTATAATAAAACCTTGGCCAACGCACCACACACCAAAAATGTGACAAGCGCATTGGTGTTGATGAGGATGTCACTGTGGAATTTATTGTGAAATAAAAGTGCTCACCCTGGTTGGGGGCCAACTCTTAAGAGGAGGAGGGTTAGGTAAACCAGTAACAAAATATCGAAGCAAGGATCGGTGCACAAAAGCAGGTCTTTGTCTTGTGGCGCTCTGCATACAAAGATCTCACTTGACTTGGGTAAATATTAGTCTAAAAGCCAGCGCCTTGGGGGAATTCGGGGTCATAATGTGCTTCCAAATTCCAACACACTGTCCAATTTGTTCCAACATTACACCTATTTCATCTTCTTTCGACACATTTACGACTATACGCACTGCTTAGCCTTGCAGGATAAACAAAAGTTCCAAATTGAGTTGTCTGTAGAAAAACAGCTTACTATAGATGAATAACAAATCGCAACCTACTTTTATGGTTAAATCAACTTATGTTATGAGTTCTAGCCATATTTAGCGAAAGCTTATCTGCACAATGCGGCAAATGTTTCTTGATCATGTCATACAAATGCACTTTAGAACTCCATAATTAAAATATCTCTCACTATGCACTTTATTAAAGGTTGTATTCTGTAGCGGTGAGAGCAGCTGGCTACACAGGTGAGCCCTGAGATTACGGAGTGAAGACGTCCATCGCCACTACTTTATTACTACATCATCAGAGCCTATGACAGTGAAAAAGGTGCACATTTACTACTGGGACAAGCTGACAGCCAGCAACTAATGATGCATGTGCTGGGACAGAAACAAAACTATGCACGTTCATATATTTGATAAACCTCACTGCGAGTGGACCAAGATGCCATACAGTTATTGGTGTCGGCTCAACTTTAGCTAAGTTTTAAAGGATTAATATTATTCTTTTTTTAACAATACACTTTTAAAGCCGAAAACATGATGATGATGTAATAGAAAAACGTTTTTGTTGTTGTCTAGGTTTAAGACCGGAGTATTTAATGTAACCAATGTCGTAAAATGTCACTTAAGATACATACAGGTATTAATGGCACAGATTGAAAGTCTGTCTTCTTTATGTGGATAGAATTGTTTAAGATAAGATAAGATATGATGTGCTTTATTTATCTCACATAGGAGAAATTTACATGTCACATTTGGCATGGATAGAGACACTCAGATTGTGCAAAAGGAGGAAATGTGTAAACATGTTACATGCAGGATATATGTACAATAAAGTGACAATAATTATGTACAACAAAAGTGACAAGTGTCAATTGGAAACAGTGTCAATAGTAGTGCAGGTTTTGCAGGTTTTCACACAGTGATCATTTAAAGTGACTTATTGTACAGTCTGACAGCGGTTTGAAGCCAATTTTGGGTTTTAAAAAGAAACAATAAAAGAGTGTGATTGGGTCTATGGTCTATGGGTCTACCGTCTATGGATCTACAGTCTATGGGTCTATGGTCTATGGATTTACGGTCTATGGTCTATGGATCTACAGTCTATGGGTCTATGGTCTATGGATTTACGGTCTATGGTCTATGGATCTACAGTCTATGGGTCTATGGTTTTTGGATCTATAGTCTATGGGTCTATGGTCTATGGATCTACAGTCTATGGGTCTATGGTTTTTGGATCTACAGTCTATGGGTCTATGGTCTATGGATCTACAGTCTATGGGTCTATGGTCTATGGATCTACAGTCTATGGGTCTATGGTCTATAACTCAAGGGTCTACTCTGAATCAATAGAAAGTGTGGGGTGCTTAGAAGAAGAAAAAAAATGAACTTTTTACATTTAGAAAGTGTACCACTAAGATTGAAGCAGTTGTATCGTGATTGCAGAGGGAAAGTTCCAGTGAGGAAAAGACATTATAAATCTGTTTTATTCTTGGGTCATTCATCTTAATATCAACCTGTCACTGAGAATAACCACCAGCCATTATGTCTTCTCCTGTGCTTCTCGTATGAAGATCCAACGCTCAAGTTTGTTTACGCTTTCTAGTTTTGACCTGCGCACACATTACACGCGCACATAACATCCTTGTTTACTTTTTAATATTGGTTTGCGGCTTCAGGAGAGGTTTGCTGCATGTTTAGGTAAAGGGCTTGTGTTTCTTTCCTTTTGAAGTTTCCAGACATTTTTGAAGCTATTATCCCTTTAATGGGAAACACAGACTTTTGGCTCGCACTCACCGGGCTACACTTTTGAAGCTACACGCCGCCGCTACTCTTTACTTTAAAATAAAATGTGACGAATTAAATAAGGGGTTGTATATGTTAGTTGGATATATATTAAAAGCTATATACACAATATGTCATATGGGGGCTATAACTCAAAGCAATACGTTTGAGCTTTGATGTTAAAAGCGGAGGATTAAGGCCGAATAAGGGCTAGCGTGAATGTTGACATTGAGGCATGAGTCCGCCTGGCGAATAATTTACAACGCACTAGCAGCCACACCGTGCGCACATTCCTATACCAAAGAATGTATGTGTTACACTGAAAAGCCCAGTAGAAGTTAACACAACTTTTTTTCTCTCTCTTTTTGTTCCCCGAGAGAAAGATTGGCCTGTGCAAAGAGAAAAGGTGGAGGAGTGGTGCGGTGCAATTATCGCAAGTAGCCGAGTGCGTCCGTTCCTGTGTGGAAGTCTTAACAAGTTGAACGCAGTTACTGTCACAGCTCATTGAGGGCCAGCGCCGCGGGGGACGCAGGCCGGACGGGCGCACGGAGGTCAAATAGGGTTTGTGGAGTTAAGAGTCCCTGCCAAGTTATATTGATATGTGGTAAGCAAGGAGGAGAGCCAGCTTTGACTATGTGCTTTTAGTGTAACAAGAGATGGATCATGTTGTTGTATAAAGTTATTGTGGAAATGGAAATTTGCAATGTCAAGTTTTCTCTGAGGTAAAAAACTAATAATAAACATGTAGGTGATATCTTTCAATTTAGGCTCATAAAGTTTTGTAAGTGCTGTGCAATAGTTTAAAGTTGGGATGCCAAACTTTCAAACCACAAAAAACAGAACTATGTAATGTAATATGTAATTGATCTTACTATTCCTCGCTCTCAAAACTGTTTGGTCGTCTGTATTTTAAGTTTTTTCAGACAGAAAGAGAAGACCACCCTCAGCAGAGATATTAAGAGGCATGTTATGTTATTGCTCGATTATGGATTGCTCTTTAATTGACATTGTTGTCCACATAATACAAAATTATGTCAACATTTTTGTCAATATTGCTCTCCCCTGCAATCACATTTCATTCTGTGTACATTTGGAATGGCAAAAATGTGGCGTACAACAATATTTCCCAAGTTTTTTTTCCGCAAAATAAAAGTCCGGTACGGTTTGTTAAGTTAAGGAATCATGCCTTGGCAGAAGTCTGTGCATCTTGAGAAATCCGAAGAAAGAAAAACACTTTCTTTCGTAACTGTTACTTTACACCATAACGGAACAATGCCCTCCTTTTCTGCAACACTGACTCTAATTTGCACTTTAAATAATTATTTGTGAAATAATAATCCCTGTAAGAGCTTGTAATGATAGCCTCTGAATGTGTGTATGTGTGTGCGTGGGTGTATGTGCGTGCGTGTGTGTGTTGTTGTGGTCATGTTCAGATGTGTGGCTGAAAAGACCCTTGTGCTAACACAATACAGACCGCCATCAAAGTGTGGTTTGCGTTTCTAAATGCATATTCAAGGAGCATGTTATTACAGCGTCGCCTCGGGTCCATTACAGCTCTCCTAACTTAAAGCTGGGGTACCTGACTTTTAAACCACAACAATGGAACTCTGTGTTATTTTACATGTCACTAATTTGCAGCTCTTCTCTCACTAGTTTTCACATATATTTTTAGCCTCTGTCACATCTTTCGATTTTTAAGAAAAGTGAGAATGAGAGGACCACCCATCAGAAGGCTCTAAAAGATAATATTTTTTCTACTAAGATGTTGTGGTTTTTACTTAACAAAGACTCTTTCTATTGGACAAACAACAACAACATGTGTTATTTCCTTAACTAATAAGATGGTACACCAGCTTTAATTCATGAAATATAAAAAAAAAATTTCTTACCCGATCGAGATGTAGCTTTTTATCGTGCTTCACCTTTTCCTGGTGTCTTTTCTTCCGTCCCTGGAAGTGTCAAAGTAGCAATTAGATAAATATGTGTGAAGGAATTTGTAGCACAAGAAATATGAATTCAAGTTGGTGGAACAATTTAAGCGGCAGGCGACATAAAAGAATGCGGGCCAACTACTCTCTGACCGCTCACTTGCCGTCAGTAAAAATGGCATGAGCAGAACAAGCAATCTACGCTGCTATGCTATTCTTTTTATGGCATCATTTGGTTTTGCTGCAGCATTCTGGTTTCTCTCTTGTTGTTTTTGCTGAACTTTGCCGACCCCATCATCCTGGAAAATCCCAAAACTCCTCATATTATTTATAGGTGTTCACATGAATGCCCTCATTGTTTTGCATTCGTTATTTCTTATTGTGGTGAAGGGGTCATAAAAATTAGCTGGAAAAGATGAAGCAGCTGCATTAAATGATGAAGGCTTGGCACAAAAACGGCACAAGGCTTTGTCCAAACCTTGTTCTTTCACGGTAACAAAGTATAGGCTGCATGTAAACTGACTTGTCCGGTATGCGTTTCCGCTAACTATTGTTTTTGAGTACATATTTTGTATACCTGAGCCGTGACTCAGCTGTCAAAGCATGGTGGAACAGATAGATTGTGTAACGCCATTTGAAACTCAAGCTGTTTTACACGTTCAGTTTGTTGACGGACGCTCAAACAGAGAACAACAGCAACGCCAATGTACCTCTCTTTTTACGATTTGTCAATGGAAATGTTATACCGTGCAAAAGGATTCATTGACCGATTGAATGTTTTACCTATTTGTACTTCATTGTTTGTATTCTTTAGACCTCTCAGCTCTCGTAATGCATTCTGAACAACAATATGACACTTTGGCTCAAGCAGAAGGCGCATGAGGGGAGACAGATTATTACTGTGTCCCAACTAAGTTAACCAGCCAGAATGGAAAAATTATAACTATAAATAAAGTATATATTATCTAGCGTTGATTATTAATGTGTAGTAGAGGGTCGACCGATATGGACGATAGTTATTGGTAGTTAGGGAGACCAATAACCGATATTCTGAGATGGCGCTAATGTTAATTTGCGGTTTAAGTTCAAATTAATAATAGCTCCATCTCCGTCCATGTGGAGCGGATCCCTCTCTTAATGTGGTTCTAAAGGTTTCTCAACATTCAACATTTATCAACGCTTATGGACATCGGTCAACTCCCTATGGACCAATACCTATGTGTTTTCCATTCTTCGTATTTAAACGGTTTGATTCTCTGATCTGTGTTGGCGATTTCAACAGTTTTGTGAAGTCCTCTGAGATTACTACTGTTGTGATTTAGAGCTATACAAGAATACATTTAATTGAGTAGCAAGATATTAAGACAAATAACGAAAAGAAAATACAAAAGAAGCTCCCAAAGTATGAACTGAATACGATGTAATTGCACAATCAGAGAGATAAATGGCTGGAGACTTGTGGTGGATAGATCTCCTAGGTAACAGAATCAGACTTGTATTTGATGTGTGATTTAATTCAAATTACATTTAATTTTGCTATTACTGAATAAAACAAAAGCAAACTAATTAGCTCTTTGTGTAGCCACATATTCGGTGAGTTCAGTTTCGAGAGAGCTGTCAACATAGAATACATGTTTGGTTTTCATTGAGTTGTATTGTTGTTGTTTTGACCTTTTTCCAATACCGGAGCCAATAATCGGTCGCTGTGATTTCATATCGGGCAATAAGAATACACTCTATGTCTGTCCAAACAGCACAGAGGTGGCATCATTGCAACCAAATTACAGATTGTAAAGCTTGGTCCCATGTGAAACAAAGAGGTTGTTTTCTTCTCAGGTGTTCTCTTGACATTTTATGACACACACTGTAGCTTTTTAATTTAAATAACTGTGACATGTTGTAACGCGTGTCTCCGCAGCAACCTTTAACTGATGAATGCCCTGATGAGTGACATCGGTTGGTGGCAGTAGTTGGTTCACAGGCTGAGTGAGGACAAGAAGCAATTCTTGGAAATGGAGGATGAGCAGAACTGTACTTATTGATTGTAATTATAGCTTCACTATTGATTGATTTGCTCTGCCCTGTTCAAATAAACAAGTAGCCAAGGTTTTATTTAATAAGTATATTTCGTTATTGCCGAAAGCATTGTTTGCCCTTTTAGCTGGAATATATTTTAGTGCATGTTTTTTGCTCTTTGGCCCATCTGGTGAAGGGCTCATTTCCTAATTACAGCGCTACAGCCAGAGGTAATTACAACCTAAGATTAAGAGCCATTTCTCTTTTTCTACAGCCTCTACTGAAATGTAATTTGTGGTGGCTTTCTGGGATGAGCATCCTCCCTCTCATCCATGTTTTTTTTTTTCCTCTTTTCTCAAGCGACATCGGAGGGCTGTAAGGAATCTAGTGGTTCATCTTAAGCATCTTTGTAATATACTTTCCGCCAAATCATGAGGTCATTTGCTTTAAGAGAGCTGTAAATGTGACTTCAGTGCATGTTTGGGGGCAGGTAGTTAGGACAGGGCTGTGTAAGCCGTATGCATGTTTTTGCTTTTCAAGTGGTTTAACAGAATTTGGCTCGACTTGACTTTTAGACTTGCTGTCAGTGCCTCTACACACCCCTGTTTTTGAAGACCATGCAGCCTATTAAAGCTGGGGTACCTGACTTTCAAACCATCAGAGCCATAAAGGAACTATCTAATACATTGTAACTTGTTTCTTGCTCTCAAAACAGTTCTATCACTAGATTCCACATGCATGAAATTTAGTCACATGTTCGTCACATCATTAGATCAGCTTTTTAAGACAGAAAAGTGAAAAAGAGATGACTTCCCTCACTCAGCCTATCAGCTCTCAGCCCAAAGCATCAAATATGAACTAAACTTGTTTTGTAATAAGATTAGGGAGGCATGTTGTGATGTGATACATCAGTGTATTACTTTTACAAGACTCTTTCTGTTAGGACAAAAAACAAATATTTTGAGTAAAGAAAGTTTAGTGCCCCAGCTGTAATATTAACAGCTCACAGGAGTTAACCAAAAATTGTAATTCACAAACTGGTTCAAATATCAGTTCTGGCTCAAATATCATTCATTTTTATTCTCTCTTTTTGTCATATTATTTCATTTCTGCATTTGAATGAATTTTCACACACTTTGTTCCACAGCTCTCGGCCTTGTCGTCTCCCATTCTGTCTCCCGCTGCTTGAGTGCCCTGCTCTTGTCCCAGTGCTTGTAGCCCCCCATCCCACTCTTCTGCCTTCACCTAAAACCCAAACCCAATCCTCGCTTCTGCCTCTGACTTTTAACCCCCTAATCCTCCCAAAGGACAGGTCAAAACTGTCCCAATCCAGCTGCTAATTGGTAAAAAATTGAACTCTTGAAATCTTTGCAAACTCTTTCCCACCAACATTTTGTCACAACAGCAAAGATAATGAAGTGCCATATTTGATTTCACCCAAATATCCAGATGGTGTGGTTCAAATATATCCCAGAGCATGTGCTTGATTGGATTTAATTGTCTTTTATGAGTGTCAGCTAAACGCTTGACTCATGCTTCCCATCCACAGACAGACGTTCAGGGCAGAAAAAGTCCCTTGAGACCATGATTATCCTCCCATCTGCACATATGTCTATCTAAGTTTACGGTTGCACCAACAATTACTGCTTCATATGTTGATTTTCAAATGTTTAGTCAAAACAGAATGTATTTTATATTATAATGTTTGTTGAGCTGTTCCCATAGTATCCACATTTTTCTTTTCGGTTTTCCCATTGTTTATATTGTGCAGAGTTTATCCACTTCTGTAAGCAGCGACAAGTGCTTTTGTGTCAACGGCTGGATATGCTAACACAACATCAGGAGGAGTGGTTCTCAATGTGTAGGGAAAGTCACAATGAGCAGAGATGGGTATATAGTTGGCTTAACATCTGTACATTACTCAATATTTACAATGTTTTAATAATAATAATACTTATTTAAAACTTTTTTTGAACACTCAAAGATGCTTTACAAAGGGACAGGTTTATAATAATAATTCAAATATGATTAAAGCTGGGGTAACTAACTATCTAATGGCATTTTTTTTTAAAAATCTAATAACATTCTATTTCCTCGCTCTCAAAAGAATTTGGTTTCTAGTTTTCATATACATTTATTTTTTGTCTCTGTCCCATCTGGAAATCAACTTTTTCAAACATAAAAGAGAAAAATAGCATGTAAATAAGTAATGTTTATTTATTTAGTGCATTTTTGTAGACCATGGTCACCCAAACCGCTTTACAATGTTCAGAAATCAGATATTGTTTCATTTTCTCCTCACACGGTGATAACAAAAGCGAGACGCCGAACACTCTGGGGCATAAAAGCCTCCATTCACTCATTACATTCAGACATATTGTACATGTTTTTAGTGGTAGGGGAAACCGGTGCACTCGGAGGAAACCTAAGCAGACACTCAGAAAGGCCCTGTTCCGACCGGGATTCAAACCCAGGATCTTCTTGCTGAGAAGCGTGAGTGCTATTCACCCTCACTCAGCTAATCAGCTCTCTGGGCTCTTTCCTACAAGTAGCTAAAGAATAATGTTGTGGTCAGACCAAATGTATAATTTTCGGAAAGATAATTTTTGTTCCCCAGCTCTAACAGTATAACATGGACACAATAAGTTGAGGTCAAATGATTCAATATATCAGGAAGCATCTATATTCAACTGTATCTATTCTCTATCTGTCAGTCATCATTATCATCATCTCCAAAGCAAATCAGTTTCTAACGTGTGGTGTCTTGTTGCCACTCCGCTGCCCGCTCGGTATATACTCATACAGTAAACACTGGAGCTAAACAGTAGCCTTCTCCACTTTACTGCAGGATAATTGCCCTCCTGTGGCCACTGTGCCGTGTCTGGAAGTCTAATACAAACCAATTACGGCCATTATATACAACCGTCAATGACACGGTGTCTTCTCCTGTAGTGTAATGATGGTGGGCGATGGAAACATGTGGAGGAAGTAACAAGGAGGATATTGGAGCAGTTTGCAGCGACTGCCTTGAGCCCTTGGGGGCAGATTAGGCGATTCTCTGTGCCTGTTTGTGGGGGCTGTGTAAAAGATGATAATCTGTCTGAAAAGAGGGATACAAGGACCGAATTGCCTTGATTCATCTTAATACATTACAGCGCTGGGTTCATAAAGGGACAAGTTTATAAGAAGGGGGGATTTTGACTCTGTATCTTTGCTACTCCTGCTACCTCAAGCAAGTTCTGCTCTGAAGTGACCAAGTAGAGGATTTCCACAACATATTATCCAGGAAAACTTTTTAACAACTTCATCTGTATTCATTAGACTATCTTTGTCAGCCCTATACTCATATGACACTCCTCAAATGAACACACTGTTAGAGAATTATATGGAACAAAAATTATTAACAGAAATTGGACAGTTTCTTTGTTTCTTCTTGGCTCACACAAGGACAAGGCATGAAAACACTTTATTAGATCTTTATTGGCATGGGTCATTACACTAAGAGATCTAATCTACCAGGAATTCAACATCAGCCCTTTATCACTTAATCTGTCCACAAGCCAAGGAAAACTAATGTAGGCTAATACTCTGTGATGGAATATACATAGTAGTAGCCTTTAGATAATGCAACAGGTAAAGCCAGTAGTGTTGGTATGTCCCTACTATTTCCATCACATAAATGTCCATATATCTGTTTTACGTAATGTTTTGTCTCCACTGCATTCACGCTGTGTAGTTGTTCCCTGAAAAAAAAAATACAACAAAAAAATCTGCTGATGTGAAACTTCTGGATCTCCAGGAGTCTGGCACGCGTCTCGTAGTAAACAGTTTGCACCAGAGCACAACTTTCTATATTTGAGTTTTACTGAAATGCCACTGTCTTGCAAGAAGCCACAAGCCTTGTTTCATAATCATATGTTTGGATTCAGTAAAAAGGACCTTTTTTTAATGCAACGTGCTTCTTGTTAGTGTTGGCGAAAGTTTTACAGCGAAGTCGTGTTTGCGCAGTACACGCGTGAAAAACTGCGTCTCTTCCATTTGGCACATACGTTTAAATAGTATAAGGCATGCGGATCTCTCTCATCTTGTTGTATAAGCGAAACCAGCGCGTACCTTTACTCCCACCGCAGTAGCGAGCGCAGGCAGCCGCTCACGCTTCTGTGCCCTTATCCCAGCGCTGATGAAGTGGGGAAAAAAGTTTAATCCAAGTCTCCGCGTCGCTTGTGCGCACTCGTCCAGAGCCAAATGTACAATGATCGCGCTTCATCAAATCCTTGGAGAGAGGTACGCTGTCTCCACGTCAAGGAATCTGCTCAAGTAAGTGCTGCCTCCTGGACAAAAAGCGCTTTATTGGAGAGAGCCCAGAGAAAGTCGGAGTGGAGATGGGAGGGGCCAGTACGCACGGGGCAGAGAGAGGAGAGAGGACAGCGGCTGCACCTTGCACCCGGAGCCGCGGTGTTAATACGGACTCTCCTGACTGATGCATTAAAGTCTAAAAGTCATGTAGGCCCAAGAGACGATTATTTATGTATTTCCCCCAATGGCAGAACTTGCAAATGTTGAATATTTTATACTGTAGAATTAGAAATCAAATCAATCAATCAGTCAAAATGTCTTTGTAATGAAATGCATCACAAAGTATCAGTTTGGTTAAAAACATTTCCACATGACCCCTCCACCCGACCATCCAAAAGACCCACTCCAAACCACATATATTAATAAGAACACACACATGCACAAATACACAAACAAAATCACATCAAATTAGTAAAACAAGATGCAACCAAGAAAAGATATAAGGCTAGGTGTCAGAGAATCCAGCTCAGGAAGCGTAAAAAAAATGGAAAAATATACTATCACACTTATAGGCCATGTGTTATTGATGAGTTTTATCAATAAAAAGTAATATTTTATGCAGTACCAGATGAATACTTATTTTCTTTGCTTATTTTTGATACTCATGAGGTCCGTATAAGAAGCTAGTACTGTTTAATTACCTTGATTAATAATGAAGACACCTTGAACATAAAGAAGACGTTTCCATTTTTTATCTAATACACAATGTAGATTAGTTCTCATTAGCAATCAAATGGAGAAAACTTTGGGCCAATTTACTTTATGGTATGAAGAAGAAATTAAGTACTCCAGCTTTAATTAATTGAACGTTAAACTCAATGGTGTTATTCAGGCGTCAAATAGTGACTCACAGGGCTCTCTCTTCAAGTATGCAAAATATAATATGTTTTTAAGAGAAGATAAGATAAAGCCATCATGTTGTAACCTTTTTGACTGCATGGAGTATCGATTATTGGGGGAAAGTTACCCCAGCTTTAATTGCCTGTAAATGTGCAGATGTAAACTCGGAAATATCATTCAAAAGTTCATTTATTTCTGTAATTCAACTTAATATGTATAAAAACCAAAATATGATTTAGATCCATTAAATGCAGAGTGAAAGATCAAGGCTGTGTGAATTGGGTGCAGCTCTGACTGCTACCCCAAGAATACATTTAATTGAATATGTTTAAATTGAATAGAAGTAAATGGTCATTGAAACGATGTCTACTTTCACCGATAACTTTTACCTGTTTGACTATTTATCAAGTTGTTTTGATACAGACAAAAACAGACCCTCAAAAAGCCATTGCTAAAGCAGAGATACATTCTACAATAACCCTAATGCCCTTAAAACTCTTAATACATTCTTAACACATTTTATCTTTAAACTTTACAACTGGGATTAGATCAGAGTATTGCATGGACTGTGGCAATGGTGCATATGGTTTGCTCGTCGTGAAGACTGCCGAGCTCAGCAGCTGGCAGCCTGTTTGGTTTTCGCTGTCCCTGGCTCCAGCTCTGTCAGTAAGAGGATCTGTGTGTACACTGAGCCACACGTCGCACATTTCTGCAGGACTCTGACGCCTCCACTTTACAACACTCTACTATTTAGTCTACCGGAGCGGGTTGTGCTCCTGCCGCTTCTGTGCTCCCCTCCTTTGACAAGAAATAGTAAAAATAATTGAAAGCAGGCCGTCTCTTTCACGTGCTGATGTCAGGTACCCTTAAGCTGGACACAGGCTGGAAAAGTCATTGGGGAAAGAGACAGACAGACATGAGGTAAAGAAGTACCTCACGTCTGTCTTAAACTAGATTGCTTACTTTTCGGGTTAGGGTTAGGGTTCTCGACTTAGTTAACTACAGTCATTGAGTCTCCTTTGTAAACCAATAGTTCATAATTGATTGCTGATTGTGATTTGGCAAAATTCCTGCTTTTCTTTTCAGTGCTTCTTGAGCGCTTTGGGTGACCTTGGTCTGTGAAAATGCGTTATATAAGTAAAGATTACTTACTTACTTGATTGAGTTATGCTGGTACGTTCCATTCTCTGTCCTTGGTCACTCTTGAGTCAGCTAAAGCCTTCCATCCTCATTTATTTGTGTTATTTCTTGTTTTTCCTATACTGTACATTAGTTTACGTTCATACTTCTTCAGACTAAAAGGTGCAGCAGATTCCAGCTAAATGTTGTTTTGACTGAAATATTGCATTAAACTTGGTTGACGTTATACGGGTGAGTTTCAAGTCATATCTGCAGAAAAAAAGTTTTTAAAAATGCACACGAGAAGCGCCCGTAGATAATGTTGATGAGGTCTTCCTACCATCCCATCCCTTCTGCACACCATAGTCCAGCTCAATCTGTTCAGAAGCTGTTTGCAGAGTAATAACCCATTTTGTGAATAGTGGACTTTAAAGTACACCTTTAAAGCTGGGGTGCCTATTTTTCAAAAGACAAAAAGAAGAGTTATGTAATATAATCCATGTTACTACTAGTTCCTGGCTCCAAAACAGTTTGATTCATCACTACTTTTCCCATGCATGTATTTTTGGCTTCTGTAACATATTTAGACACTGAGGAACGAATAAAGGGTTATCTTCTCTTATCTTATCTTTAGATCAGGCTATTCAAACAGAAAATAAAGTGCTCTCAGCCCAAAGCATCAAATAGTGACTCATCAAACTCTTTCTTTTGCATAATAATAACAATAATGATAATGCATTGGTTTTTTTGACACTTAAAGACGCTTCACATGTTATTATTCATTCACTCCATGCATGGTGGTGATAAAATAACTACTGTAGCCACAGCTGCCCTGGGGCAACCAGTATCTGCCTTCAGCCCCTCTGACCACCTCTAACCATTCAAGGCAATGCGGGGGAAGTGTCTTGCCTAAGGACACAACAGACTTTTTTACACCGCTGCAGCCACCTCACTGTGGCACCTGGTGTTCTCAAAGGTCTCCCATCACAGTAATAACCAAGCCCTCTCCTGCTTAGCTTCAGAGGTCTGACAGGATCTGGCTTTCACATTCAGGTGGCACGGCAATTGCAATTTAAGATCATTTCAAATGCGATGAAGACAACATGGTGCAGTCTGATTTGTTCACAACTTTTTACCAAGACTCTTTCTTTCTGGGGGAAAGTTAGGTACCCCAGCTTTAATGATACTAACGTTACTCTTAGTATTGAGCGGTTGACTTTTTGTATAGTCGTGGAACTTGTAACCATGCAAGTGTGACTCACTCCTGCTCCTACTGCAGAAGTTATTGCCCTCCTCTTGCACATGTAGCACGTAGCATCTGCAATACATTACGGCCAATTGCAGGAATAGAGGAGTGATTTCAGGCGGGTCCCACAGGGTGCAGCTCCTCCGTGTTTAAACAGAAGAGGCTGTAAGTCTTTACCCGGCGTCCTGTGCACCAATCGCTCTCTGTCGCGCACACAACAAACATATTGAAAACAGCTGAGGTCATCCGAGGAGAGTTATTTATCAGTGCGGTCAGGTGAAATGCATAGGGAGGCTTTGTCTTAACTCAGTGGAGGCACGTTTCCTTGGGCAGACTCGTGCACTTTGGTTTGGTGCCGCTTCATACCAGGCCATTGTTTGGAACATGTTGCAAAACACAGACTTCCATTAGTTTAGATCATCTTGTTTATATTGACATTTTTATGCTATTTCTTCTCAACTTTCATCACTGGTCACCTTACAAGTTGCTCGTCACTTTACCTGTTGTTATTATTATTATTACTACATTATTACATACTCCACTCTCTCTGATATTTCTGTTCTGAGAATTATAGTCACTTTACCTGCTGCTTTTATTATCATTTTATATCTATATTGGACAGGACAGTATCCAGTATTAAGTTTTATTTTGTAATTGGGGGTGGGAGTGAACAACATTTCACTTCTCACTCCCTTTCAAGCAAAGAGCATTACTTCATTGTAAAAGATATGTAATATGTATTAACGGATTATTAACCGAGCGCGAGGACCTACAGACCACGGCTCGGTCTGTACATTAAGGCCGTGGTCTGATATTTCTCTGTACAGACCGAGCAAGCAAGGTTAATAAATGTTTTATTATATGACTCTTGTCTGTGTCTTTACCAATGCTTTTAAGATGAGTATGTTCATGTCCGACTTGGTTTTGTGTGATACGGGCTGTGGACCGATTGTCATGGTAACGGTCCGTGGAAAGATATCAAATGTGATACGCGCTGTTCGGACCAATTGTCATGGTAACGGTCCGAGATGGGAAAATATCAGACCAAATCAACCAATCAGACGTACGGTCCAAGTCATATAATAATATATATTGTTTACTATATTGTTTAGGATACCACAAGTTTGTGATGAATTAATTTCTTACTGTGACATGCTCATGCTTGAAATAAATTAGTCATTCTTTCATTCATTCATATTCCCTGTGGCTAATGTACGATATAAACATCTGTAAACACCTCCTGCTCCGGAGTTGTACCTATTTTATTATCTTATTACTTTAGTATTTCATTTCATGTTATTATCAATTATCTTAAATAATAGATCGTGTTTGATGTGTGAAATCTCAGTGCTCTTATTTCCTCCTTTTTTATATTCTGCTGTAATGTGCACAACGTTGACATTTTACATTCCCCACTTTGGGACGAATAAAGGTTTATCTCATGTGTTTCCGTTCTCTATGGCCCAAAGCTGAAAAGACATGGCATGATGCGAGTCACCTGAGAATGTAATAGGCCTTTTATACATGAAGAGTTCATTTGCAAAAACAGTTGAATCCCTCTTGTTAAAATCTTAAAGATGTTTTGTTATTGGCAGTGAATTTAAAATAAGTTGCTTTGTATGGCACTAAGAAAAAAAAGTACTTAATAAAGAGGAAATCAAAAGCCCCTCCGATATGTTATATATATATATTTTTTTGCAAATGTACTATTCATATAAAGTGGTTTTTTATATGCATTTATTTGTTTTGTCTCGTCAATTTGGGTGAAATAAAAGGTCAATTCATGGAGATGCTGATTTGTTTTAACAATTCTCCATGTGATCATGTGATCAATCGACCCAGCCTTAGAAAACACATACAAACAAAGTGTCTGTGGTAAATAATCACTGACAAGGCATCAGTCCTGTCACAATAATCACCAAGTCGATTTTTCGTTCAATATCTAATGTGGATGGAACAATATATTTTGGGGTTCAATATTGCTGGCATCTCCATTTTCTTTTCAGAAGTGACAAGATAATAGCAATAATCTAGGTAAAACAAAACTTAATAAGTCGTTGCTGTAGCTAGTTAGTGCTAATTATTAATAGATTTTTTTCCCTTTATTTCTAATGATGAACACATACTAAAAATGGATTACTTATGTGACATTTCCTGTGTTTTTTTCGTTTTTTTCTGTGTTTTTATGCCCTATATGCTGCTCAAAAGAATTGCCCCTGATGGGATGAATGAAATAGTCTGAATTTAAAACCAAACCTGGATGTCTGCTGGATTGACATTTGACCAACGCGATCAAGTTGTTGTGTTGTAATTTATCGCATTTCATCTCTGTATCCATATCGTACATCAACATGTGTTATGGTGTCAGACCTATATGTACAAATTCTGATTATCAACCATCAAGACAACAACTGGAATATTGGATCTGTATTTTCTAGGTCATAATTTGGACATGTAACTGCAAAATGTGTTAATCCAATCATCATCTCACTATAAAGGAATGAGCAAAGCAAGTTTTTCCCCCCGTAATGTAAAGTATTATATTTAGTGATGTCTCTCTTCTCAGGGGGTTGGTAGTCAGTTTGTGCTTGGTGTTAATCTGGGCCTTGGGGCTGTGTGTAAGTGTGTTATACTGCTGCGCTGTCTTCCTGCTGCGCTGCTAATCACCCTGTCCAGTAAAAAGATGGAGAGAGGTGTCCAGCTCCTAACACTGCCCCGGGGAAACCGTAAAAGTGTGGGAGCATGAGGTGACCGCTCCTCAACACTCACCGCACATTCCATGCAAATGACGTCAGAAAAAAATCACTGCAAAAATACAATATACAGTGTGCTTTAAAGTTTACACTGCAAAAAATGATACAATGTGAGGTAATAATTGTTTGAATCAAGTATTTTTTATCTTAGTTTGAGTACATTCTGACTGTCATAATACAAGATTTTCAGATGGGACAAAGCCATTTAGTGTTATTTCAAGAAGTGTTGCTTTAATTTCTCATTCCAAAGGAGACATTTCTTTATAAAACAAGATCATTATGTTTTGTCCTATTGGCAAATCTTGTTTCAAGGCAGTGAAAATGTGCTCAAAGTGAGTTACATTTTGCGAAACCTTAGACTTGTTTTTCATCACTTTTTGCAGTGTACAGACAGTTCTGCCATATTTTGAAGATCTTGAACGATTAATAATGCAATGCACTTTTTCTCTCATTGTTTCTAGTTACTTAAAGGTACTCTGTAATTTTTACAGTTGCTCCCATTGAAAAAACATGTTAACCAATAACAAATCTGACCTTTTTAAGAATATTTACGTCCACCCATTTTTTGAATTCTAGTCATAGGCTTAGA